ACATTTACATGCATGTTTTTAATTGGTTCACCCATAATGAGCTGTAATATGCACATTTACATGCATGTATTTAATTTGTCTACTCATAATGAGCAGTACTATGCACATTTACATGCAGATTTTAAATTGGTCTACTCATAATGAGCTGCAATATGCACATTTACAGTCAGGTTTTCAAGTGGTCTTCTCACAAGGAGCTGTAATACGAACATTTACATTCAGGTTTTCAATTGGTCTACTCATAATGAGCTGTAATACGAATATTTAAATGCAGGTTTACAATTGGTCTACTCATAGTGAGCTGTAATACGAACATTTACATGCAGGTTTACAATTGGTCTACTCATAATGAGCTGTAATACGAACATTTACATGCACGTTTACAATTGGTCTACTTATAATGAGCTGTAATACGAACATTTACATGCAGGTTTTCAATTGGACTACTCATAATGAGCTGTAATACGAACATTTACATGCAGGTTTACAATTGGTCTACTCATAATGAGCTGTAATACGAACATTTACATGCAGGTTTACAATTGGTCTACTCATAATGAGCTGTAATACGAACATTTACATGCAGGTTTTCAGTTGGTCACAATGGAAAATGTTTGCGTGTTCCCTAATAACAATTCACAAACTTATCGTATCCATATAGTATGAATTGCCTAGTTACCATCCACCATCCAACCATACCGTTTTCATAGTTATTGGGTTACCAAACAATAGTCGATATTATTAGATCATGAATTGAGAGATTGTTTTATCAACGATTATATATAAATGCTGGTCCCAGACGAAAGTACTGTAATAAGTATTATATATGTGGGAGTGGCAGCTATTTTATTTGCATCAACATATATATTTGCATCATAATTGAGTATATGACGTCACTATGAACAGGCCTAAAGTATAAAACATACAATATTCACTGTGGTCACCATAGCAACTGTGTGATCACAGTACTCTCTCTTAGCAACACTACTATTACTTTTAGCTAAGCTATAGAACTAACTAGACAACTGGGAAATTGACTGTGTCGGATTGATTACAAAGACGACTTTGGTGTCAGTAGTTAATGTAACTACACCGAGTCATACATAGTGCTTATTCAAATACGTATTTAAATAGACAATGACGTCATTATGAAACTCTTAATATCTAAGGAGCTAAGTAGCAATGTATAGGGTGGAAGAAATCACGAAATTATACAATACTGCTACAATATATTAGAATAAACAATTAAGAAAACAATGACAATAAATTCAAGCGATAATTATATAAATACGCACTTAAATAATTGCTCTGTTTGCTAGTATAATACAGTATATGCGGTATAAGTACATGTTTTCGAAAATTAATTGCAATGTTATTTGATACCCAATCCAAGATTTATGACAATTGACTGAGAAATAAATAAATCAGAAGCTCCGTCGCTAGGCGACGAGGCAATCATGCATTATCTCGACCGAGGCATTTCTCCTCCTTATTATAAGGTTAGTATTCTGTGGCTTTCATTTGTGAAAACATTTTGTGTGTTTCTCGTATTCAGTGTTCGACAAATATTATTTACTAGAAATCAGACCACTTACACAATTGTCATTAAACAAATTTAGATAAATTCGGGGTGTTTTTTTCAAATAAATTTACTTGCGAATAGAGGTATGAAAATGTAAAAGCTACTATGTAATATCAACTTATAATTCTGAAAGTGGTGACTTATAACATTGAATACATGTTAAAGTTTAACTCTGCCATTTCTGACTGCTACTCATGTCATTCTCACTCATTCTGCAAGATTCTTCTCGGGCGGATACATTCTGCTTGTAAGTAATCGGTGGCAAAAAGATATCACTATTAGCGTTATTTTCCTTAGGGATCGGGGTTATGAACGTACGATATCGAGATTCACTTTCAAAATCAAATTCTATATGACTGGCGCTTTCAACACTGCTCAATGTATCCTCGCGTGGCGTGATGTCATTGGTCAGGAGAATCCGCTTTTCTAAACGAGGTGCGTGTATTTTGTCTCTTCGTGTGTTAGCGCCAGCCGGTAATGACGTAACAGTGACGTACTCTGATTTGGATTTGTAAAGGTACCCATTGTTTGATGTCGGCTGTTTGTGGCGAGGCATGTTATCTGTGTTTTCAACCTTGACATCTGATTGATTAACTCGCTCAGCCGTAGCATATGATTCATAAACAGAGTGTGACTTTATAGAGGACGAACTTTCTTGGCGAGATATACCCTTGTGCCCACGAGCATCGTCCATACTGCTTGATTTCATTGTTTGAGACAGTTTCGGTGATCTGATTCGTGGTTGATACCCTTCAGCTTGGTATTCCTCTTCCTTACTCCCTTGCTCCACGCCTTCTTCTCGATGTGCCGAATTTAGATCCTCATCTTTAATGACATCCAGGCGATAGTTTTGACAGGCAATTACATTTGGCATACTGTATCTTTTTCTTTGCCTATAGTTTCGAAATGACGGTGAAGTCAAGTTTTGACCAGCGATTACAACACCTCGTTGTCTTTGCAATTCATTGAATTTCTTGGTTAATTCTTCAATACTCAACTCCTTTGTTAATCTTTTGCTTGGAGTGCAGTGAGGATGTTCCATGTACTGGTCGTGGTCGTCTTCATCTACGTCTTCAAAACTTGAATTATAACTTTGATCCGAATCTGAACTCTGTGACGTGGATGTTAACAGTGGATGGCAATATAATTTTCCAATTCTATTTCGGAATACATTCGTAGGTTTTTTTCCTGTCGAGAATGATTCAACTTCGGGTGTTGTACATCCATTTTCTCTGGCCCACTCTTCGGCGTTGAGATTTCTCACCGCGTCTCTTCGATCAACTGCTGCTTTGCCTTCCTGTGCCAGCAAAGCGGCACATTCTAAATAGCCATTTTTTGCTGAAACCATTAATGGCGTCATTCCCTCGTCGTTTTCCTTATCCACTTCCAAACCCAAACGCCTAAATGACTTGGTTACAATTTCGATTGCTTTGTCATTTCCAACTTGTGCGCAATACATCAGTGCTGTATTTCCATTATTATCTTCGATGTTTGGGTCTACATTATTTTGCACCAGAATTTTCACGATATCATTACATCTAAGTTCACAGGCATAACTTAAAGTAGTTCGTCCCATATTGTCACGTAAATTCACATCAGCTCCGCGTTGTAGTAACAACTCAACTGCTTTGATTCGTGCTTTTTCCTCGCGTATTTTACATGCTCGTATAAGCGGTGTTTTACCATGGATATCCAGAGCATTCACGATGTCTCCATCCACGGCGTCCAGAATAAATCGAGCCAAGTGCACTTTACCCTTAGCAATGGCATCATGAATTGCTGCCGCTCCAGATGTTTGCCCCAAGCTACGACGACGCCGATCTGTTATCGAAAGGGCACGTTCATACCACGAGCTTGCATTGGGTGATGCTCCCGACGAATTCATATTACTTGGCATAGTAAATGTTCTGCCAAGTTTAGGTTTTTTCGATGAACTGTCCATGTGTACTCAAAATCAGATCACTAAATACAAGTATCTGTATTGGCAGTGGTATATCTTGAACTTTCAAATCAACAATCCTGAAAATAAGAAATAAAGAGAATGAATGATGTGATGATTGTTCTTTCATCTCGTACATCATTCGAGTAGTGAGTACCAACTGCTGACCTTTTTAGGATACATGCCTGGGGTCCATATATATTTCTTTCATTAATCTGCTAAAAACCTGTATTATATATATAGTTTAATCTTAGTACAATCTCTCACATTTTCATCTTAGTCTAATATCTAATATCTGTCCAATCTCTCACAGCATCCGTGTCTATAGTAATTTCTCACTTCATAATATGTATCTATTCTGTCATATTTTCGTCTTATATCTCGCATCATCACCATCTCTGTATAACCTATCTGTCACTACCTCTGTCCAATCCTTCATATTACTATCTGCGTCTTATCTCTCAAATAATTTTCCGAGTCTAATTTCTCACGTAATTGTCTGCGTCTAATTTCTCTCGTAATTGTCTGTGTCTAATTTCTCACGTAATTGTCCGAGTCTAATTTATCTCGTAATTGTCTGAGTCTAATTGCTGACGTAGTTGTCTGAGTCTAATTTCTCATGTAATTGTCTGAGTCTAATTTCTCAAATAATTGTCTGAGTCTAATTTCTCTCGTAATTGTCTGAGTCTAATTTCTCAAATAATTGTCTGAGTCTAATTTCTCGCGTAATTGTCTGAGTCTAATCTCTCTCGTAATTGTCTGAGTCTAATCTCTCTCGTAATTGTCTGAGTCTAATTTCTCTCGTAATTGTCTGTGTCTAATTTCTCTCGTAATTGTCTGTGTCTAATTTCTCTCGTAATTGTCTGAGTTTAATTTCTCTCGTAATTGTCTGAGTCTAATCTCTCTCGTAATTGTCTGTGTCTAATTTCTCTCGTAATTGTCTGAGTCTAATTTCTCTCGTAATTTTCTGTGTCTAATTTCTCTCGTAATTGTCTAATTTTTCACGTAACTGTCTGAGTCTAATTTCTCAAATAATTTTCCGAGTCTAATTTCTCACTTATTTGTCTGGATTTAAGAAACGGGGCAACCTATATGTCATTACCTTTTTATATCACCTCAACAACTATGATATTTTTTTTTCTAGTTTTTGTCTGAAGGACAATAGTACGGAAATAATTAGTATTACTAGAATATTCTACATTGTCCAAATTACTTACAATAATATCACAATCTATTTTGTAATCAACAAATATACTACGAACTAATGGTTACAATGATAAATTCTACCCCTCCCGCACATTTTTACACTCAACATATCTGACAGGACGTCTTACCAAGTTCATCTCGCGGTCTAAAAGTCTACTACTAAATCATTTCAGTAATTTACTGTCATAGACAGTTAAGCTACATAAAAGAGTAAATCTATTTCCAAACTAAAGAGCACATGTGTAGTCAGAGTGTCACCTTTTATGTGTCATACATTAATATGGCTTTCTTAATGTGATCCAGTTTCACCTCCTCCTACTCATATTTTATATATCACACACTACGTCGCTGAAGGACAAAGTGGCGGTAATCCTATATTGTATACCGATATACATATATATATATATATATGGATTATCTCCAATTCGTGACTGTGTAATGTCGGATTTATTGAACGAATTTAGTGAATTGTATAATATCACACGGTAACGCAGGATTTTATCTGAATCGACAAATGTATGTTCGCGTCCAACTTCTTAAAGCGTTCCATGTTTTATTTTCAGACTGCAACGCAATTCCTTGAACACAGATTACTGACATTTAATCGACATCTATGAACGATTTTACTGATTTTCTATATGTGTTTAATTTCAGTGACATTAGCAATAGCCCCCAACTTTAAATGTAATTCAACCACCTGTATATTGCGACTATAACGCGAAATCTAAGTAACTACCGAGTCATAGCAGAAACATGATATTTATCATATTTAAAAAAGAAACTATTTATATGAAAAAAAAATACACTGAATTCAAAAAACTCAAGTTTGGTCTTATAAATATACTTATACAAATAAATATTCAATTGAAACCAGTCTTAATGAAAACCAAATGAGCGAAACGACTGGATTGGCTAGTCAGGCGCATTCTTATTCCGCCAAGCGAGTTATGTTTTGAAGATCTTTAAAGATGACGTCAAAATTATAAATTGCGTGCAGGA